TCATGTACATCACAGCTGCGGAAACGATTATAAGTAGTGGCACAAACAGGGTGGTGGGGGTAAGTGAGGGTGCGGAGAAGGGAAGACGAACGGAGTGACATTAGGGAGGAGGACGGGGTCGCATGGGAGGAGGGGGGAAGAGCCGGCGTTAGAGGCACAAAACACGAATTGACAGCGTTGCGTGGGGGACGCGATTCAAAGGCGTAGCATCAGCGGCGCTCAGTTCCGCAAGGCGCCGGGGGGTGCCACGTATAAGTGGACGAGAGAACGAGAAGGGAAGGACTTGGGGAGTGAGGGGTGGGGCAGAGGAGGAGGGGGGTACTACCACTTTGGCGCGCTGCACTCGCCCACGAGGTACCACTTTGATCGAAAAGTAGTGGAGTGCACGACATATGTGAAAGAACCAGAATACGCATGTGTGGGACATGCAGTAGCACACATGTGCAGCAGGAAACACAAAGCAGAAACTTAGTCAAAAGTGCACCTGTTGCCGATGTGAAGATGCGTTTTTTGCACAGTCCCTTCGAACGTTTTTGTTTCCAGGGGCGCTGTCTTTTCCGGCAGATGCTTCTAGCTAAGAGGGTTGAGAGTAGCCATTACGATTGGTAAAAATTATTTCAAAGACTCCCAATCAATGCCCAAAAAAGTCAGCACTCTAGATATTTGGGTTGCGGAGATACGTCAAGTTTCACGCGTTCATACGTGAGTGGCAACGTGAGTGCTGTCTTCGCGTGCGCTTTCTAAAACACGGTCCTGAACGACGCTCAAACAGTTTCAACACTTCAGCTACTCTGGTTGTGGAGTTACGTCAAATTTCACGTGTTCGCAGGTGAGACATGGAAGGGACGTGAAAGTTGTTTTTACGTCCATCTGGTCAAACGCCACCGTCGGTTACGCTCAGAAAGTTTTGCGTATCTGTACGTGAGATGCACAGGGTCTGGAAAACTCAGTTTACTTTCACGGACACTGCAGTGGGCGAAAAGTAACGCTGCATAGTTGCAGCTCCCTACAACTCCCTGGTCAGCTTAAATCTGGAATTAGCATGATGCTAATTTAAACTTTGACGTGTGCATACGTGAGACTTACTCGTGCATGAAGGCTGAATTTGAAATCTTTGGTTTGGACGCGGCCAAGGAGCATCTCAGTGAAGTTTAAGCCTCCTATCTTGCACCGTTCCCGAAAACACTTTCCTGCCAAAAAAGCTTTCACGTGCCCGTACGTGAGAACCATGCGGACGTGAGTGTTCATTTGGAAGACTGGGACCCGTATGTATGTGTAGATTAGGTTACCAAAGTTCCAACCTTGTTGCTTTTGTGGATCTCGAGATGAAAACTCGTTACAGATGCACATAAAGATATACATACACACAGACAGCCGTTCAACAATATGTGCTTTTGCATTGCATAGTTACAATAATTGGCCAACGCACGGGCTGGCCGTGCGAAGACGCGTTTTTTGCATAGTTCCCCCAAGTTTTTGTTGCTATTGGCACCGACTTTTTCGGCAGATGCTTATAGCTAAATAAATTAGGACTGGCCGCCAGAACTGTCAGAAAACACCCCCTTGAAATTTCAGCTTTCCAGCTTCCCTGGCTCCTGAGTTAGCAACTTACTGGAAAAAAATTTTCATGAATCCGTGCAAGTTTAACAAGCATACCCGAGAGCTAGGTTCGAGCTGAATGAAATTTAGGTGCACGGGGTATGTCCTCTTAAAATTACAGTCCTTTAGCTTCTGAGGTACTCGAGTTATCAGCTTGCCCGAAAAAAACTTTGGCGGTCCCGTACGTGGGAACCACGCTTACCCGGGGACTGAGTTTGAGCTCACTAATACGCATTTGGACGGGAACATCTTCCCAGAATTTCAGCGTTCTAGCTTCTTAGATCCCCGAGTTATGAACTTACCCGAAAAAATTTTGGCGGGCTCGTACGCAGGTACCACGCGAGTAATGGCGCCAATTTTGGGGACTGGGGCCCGTACGTGCATGTAGATTAAGTTCCCAAAGTTTCAGTCCTGTAGTTCTTGTAGGTCTTGAGATGAAAAACCGTGACAGACGCACACACGGACACACAGGCACACACACGCAGAAAACCTCTCGTCAATATGCGTTTTTCGCATTGCATAGCCGGAAAAAACGCATAAAAAGGTCAAAAGTGAAAAGGAGTGGAGACTCGTCGCCGCGGACCGGCTGAAGCTGAGGTTTTGGTGATCAGATATGCTAAAAAGTAAAATCATTTTGAATGGTAAGGCGCTTCACGCAGGTACGGCTGAAGAGATCAGTGACATGGAACCACTTACGTTCAAATAATAACTACCGGTGCCTACGTTACAGATGCGGCTAAGCGTTTTTGCGCGGTTTCATGCAGTCGTTCAGCAAGAGCATTCACCGCACCATAATTTGA